AATTCTTCAACTTGACCTTTGTTTTACATTTTTGTCCTGGTTTGTTTTCCATACTTTGAATAACATTTCCTCTCCCTTGCTTTTCTCCCTACCTTTTCACAATTATGTGTCTTGGAATTTTCTGTACTAAAGAAAGCAGCAATGTTGAAGAGCTAAACGTACATCACTTGTTCTAACTTCAAGAAACCATTGAGTGGTGTTCACCCTGCGCTGGCTTCGGTGGAGCTAGCTTTGCCATCTGTCCGGTAGAGACCAAGGAGAGTACTCGTACCTTAATAGTCATGCAAGTTGTTTCTCAGCGTTACGGCAAAAATCCATAGTCCAGCACTGTAGAATTATACTCGGCTACATTCAGTTCCGTGTATCAACTTGGATATTATGGATAGACTCAAACTGACCGAACACAGTAAAATCTGTATTTCACTACCTGTATTTTTGGCTCTATATGGATATTTTCAGGCATATTATAAAACAGTCAAAAGCCTTGTCAGTTTTATTAAAAGTGTAGTAGGAGCAGCACCTTACCTTACTCGGGAGTAGTTGTAGGTCAAGTCGAGTCTTAGTTAAGTTCTGAAAACGCACCCTGCTCTGCAGTCCGGTGACTGGAGGGGCTTTGACTCCGACGTCGGTAGCCGTGATGCCACCTCAGACACCATGGAGTTCAGCGGGATGCAAGGCAAAACTAACCTTGGCACCTGCCGAGATACGAAAGGCGCAGCTGGAATCGGTACAGGGTTACTTCTCTTCGTCAGCACAGGCGGCATTTGTCCAAGAAAAAAGCAAGAGGTGAACAGGGTATCGTGCAGGACTTACCTTGCACAAGGCGAAGGACTTGATAGGAAGACGCCGGAAGCTGCCCGGGCCTCGTTTGCGCCATGGCTGCCCGGAGCTCCCCTGGCACCCAGCAGCCAGCCCCTCCGGGGCTCTGGGCCCCGCCAGGGTCAGAGACCTGGTGGGTTCCCACTCTGTCCTCACGCTGGGGCAGGGCTGGTTCTGGGGAGGGGTAACCGAGCCGTGTGGGTGTAACGCTTTGCACCTCTTGAGCTTCGCTTCACTTCCCCCCCCTCCCGTACAAGTTCACTTAAATACGGTGTTTTCCGATTCTTTTCTCTGAAGCTGAAAGCTGAACCAGTACACTTGTACTTAGAGCTGGCTAAAGCGCACCGAATCAGCTGCCGATTACTGGCCCGCCTTGCCAAGATGGAGATTGAAGGTACAATCTCGACATGAACTGCCTATTGGAACACTGAATGTGAAGTTACGTTCCAAGCATTTGACGATTTATAATTCATTGCAGGAGAGGTACTTACGATGTAAAGCATTATTTAATTGCTTCCGTAGTGCAAATACAACATCTGTGTTTTTTGAAACAGAGTTTTATTAATAAGAAGGGGAGAAATGTGATAATTTTTTTTTTTTTTACGTTTTCCGTTTCTTCAGAAGAGACATCTGGATATTGGAAGAAACACCGATTTATTTTTTATTTTATATATTTCTATTCTTTCTAATTGTTTTCTGTGTAAAATTGCTGCTTAGAGGAATCTCGGAAATCTGCGAGGGAAGACTTAAAACCGGCACGGCCATTACAAAAAGGAACGGAAAGCTCACCTCAGCCGTCTTGTACCAAAGGGAAAGACGACAGTAAGAAAAGGTCAGCTGAAAAACGTTCAGAAAACGCAGCGCAAAAAGCTGGGATGAAAGGCCCTGTAAGTTTTTAAAACCAACAAACAAGAAAAACCCCCAAACTTAAAACTAGAATGCAAAAAGACGGGATTATATTTAGGATATGTATTTAAGGCAGTATTACATTTAAATATATATTTCCTATTATTGTAATCAGGTGGTTTTGGTTTGGGCTTTTTTTTTTTTTAAACCAGCGTGCAAACACTGGTGTTTGCTGGTTTAATTTGCATAAAGTTCAGATCATCGTTCCAGTTTTAAAATAGAATTCAGTATTCAGCCTTTGTCCTGGGATGATTTCTTAATAGACAGCTCTGGCTTGAAACTTCAACTTAGATTTCTTTTTTCAGCTAGTAATTTTGGAGGCAAATATGATGTAAATGCTTTTCTCTCACAAATATGTAACAAGCATACCAAAAATTAATTTCAAGATGTATTTTAAAAAAAAATATTCCAGAATTTATCAGAACTTGAAGAACAGCAGCTGAAGCAACGAGAGGACTACCTAAAGAAGAAACGAGATATGCTGATGGCTACGAAGAAGGAGTCAAGAAAAAACGTACTGTTACCGATGAACGCTGACCAGAAAGAAGAGGAACCATCTACAGAGGTGAGGGACTCCAGCGTTCTGATCATCCTGACCGCTTTGTAAAAACACAGATGATTTCAGTGAAGATGTAGACGTTGCTGCTGAACAGCGTAGCAGGATAAAAGCAACAAGTGGGGGAAGTAGAGAGGACGTATTTTCAAGTTACCGTTTTTGCAGAAGCTTATGGGCTAGAAGTTTCAGTGATGAAGTTAGCATTGTTTTGCTTCAGTATCATCAGAGCCTCATGATAAATTTGAGTTTAAGAACGGCTAGAATGCTGGTCTTCTCCTAATTGTGGCCTGCTGTTCAGGCTGCCTTAAATCCCTGGGGTTCCCCCCCCCCAGCTGAAATGGGAAGAACATTTTTCTTTTGCAAAGTCTTATTTTCAGAGGTAACAAACGCGCTCTGTTCTTTCGATCTCTTTGGAGAGTTTTGTGCCCATTTCAAATGAAGAAATCCTCGATTTCTCTCCATCAGCCGCTGGAGCAGAAGCGACATGCTGATGATACAGTTTAGAAAGACAAGGCGCTCTGAAGGCTGGGTGCTGCTCTCCTTTATCCAGTTGCCTCCAGTAGAAAAAAAACAAGTCTGTGGGAGGGTTGGAAGCACAGGACAGAACAAGA